GTTACAGTTCGTATCTGCTAAAACAGCAAAAAAAATGTTGCACATTTGAATGGATAATTTTTTTTCTATACGCATAACAAATAACGACCTTATCTTTGACTTATTTGAAGCAAATACACAGAATAAAGCACAGACTAACATTTTCGAATGTCGAAGGTGAGGTATTTGATGAGACACTTCTTTCGATTCAATTTAGTTTTTGTAAATGTAAATTTATTTATGAATGTATTATGAACAGGTAATGGAGACCTTAATATTTATTATCACACATACATCATATTTATATGGTTTTTACAACAGTATAATAGAATAGAATATTTTTTATTTAATATAGATTACAAATATACTTATTGAAAGTCATTATTTACTGATTGTGATCACTGGTTCGGAAAAATCCTGGGAAGAACCGGCAAGAAACCCAGCGTGACTTTTTTACACATTAATTTACATTATATCGTATATAACATTTCAAACAGAATTAAATATAAAAACATTTAGAAACGGCATGGTAGCGATTACCTCATTCATTCATTCGTTCAATCATGTACTCTTTTGTAGTATAATAATACTTTATTAGTATAATAAACAAAACGGTTTTTGTTTGATAAAAAATTTAAAATTTTTGATAAGTCCTACATATTTTTGGGATTTCATTGTTGCGTGTATGAGGAAATTCCTGACTCTTCGGAGTCTAGTAACTGATGTAACTAACTAGTTTGTTCTTGTTTTTAGTATTTGCAGAATGTAATGTGTAATATTTTGCTCTGTTGTTTAATAAATAAAGCAAACATTTCTCTTTTTAATAAAATTTATAATTAAATTATTAATCTTTAAATTATTAATTTATATCAATTTTTTTAACCTAATCACAGTGACAGAGTCGAGACGAAGTTCTATTAATTTAGTTAATCTGTGATTTAGTGCGCGCGTTCAAGTCTTCAGTGCGGGTGCCGCGCCGCGCCGCGTTCTGCGCGCCAATTCTAAGCACGATGTTCTTGAATTGATAATTTATTTTGTTATAGTGATGGGTTGATGACGCATCATTCCAATGCCAATATACTTTTTAATAGAAAAAAAAACTACATTTAGCTCATATATAATTATAGCGTTTATGTTAATTTAGAAACAGTAAATTGCAAAAAAATAAAAACATATTTAAACGGCTTATCGTAGAAACAAGTGAAACAATAGAGCAAGGGCTGATGGCGTCCAGCGGCGTCCACCTGTCGGCAGGTAGCAACACGGCGTTCGAATAAAACATATATTGCCTCATAGGGTGATATTTGCTACAGTTGGCACGCTTGGCAAGCGGTGGGTTGGCAAACGCAGTTTATTTTTATTTTTGGACGTTATTAGGAAAACGATGCTGCCCATCTCCTGATTCGTTTCCCTCTGTTGCCTCTTACGGCACCCACGGGATGATATAGGGTAGTGAATACACTTACACGGCCACTACACCCATATCAGGTTTTTATTTTTTCCAAAGTTGTGAAATTAGGACGTGGACGTTGAAGCGTCAGTTTATATTTAATACTTACGACCCGCGCCGGCTTCGCCTGGGTAAGATCTACTAATGGGGCACTGTTTGGATTTTTATAGCATACTAAGGACTCGGACAGGATGCCTTCTTTCCAGTAAAAAGGGTTTCCGGTTCTCTACACTCACCATACGAATCATAGCAGCATGAAGCTGCTATTTTGTGAGAGCGTGGTCTTACCCCGATCAAGCTGACCCATTCGTGCTACGACCATATCATAGCTGCAGAGTGGCTCTACTACATATACCACGTATTTAAGATAATTAAAGACAATTTAACTTGTCAATTTTTAGATTTTTTAATGATGTGTGTTGTTCGATATTACAGACAGACACTTTAATTATATGTATAGATTATTTTTTATCACGGACTAGCGTTCCCCACGGCTTCGCACGGGTGAATTCTGAATCTCGACAACAGCGCCACATACCTGCTCCATATGTAAATCTAAACACATTTAAACACACAATAAATTCCATTAAAATCGGTCCAGTCGTTTTTAAGTTTTGCAAGACTAATGGATTGCAATTGATTTTTATAAATAGAGATAATAAGGATATCTGAGATTTTTAATATTTCCACAAGGTATTTGTGTCATGACGCGATATATTATAATATGATCAATTTCACAATGTTAATTAAATTAATTAACTTCTCAGATAAGTTATGAATATTCATTTATTTTATTAGCGTGTTCTAGTGGATGCAGATCGCTATGATCTAAAAACCGAGCAAAAAAAACACCGAGCCCGCGGCTTTGTAGCGGCGAGTCAATGCTTAATGCTCAATAATACCACTGCGCTTCTTTAATATTCTTAATTCCATAACAAATTAATATTTATTCTTTATAATTCTTTAATATCATTTTTTGTGTCACTGTATTTCATGTTTAATTGAAGTTCTTTCATAATAAAAAGGCCTATCCAAAATGTTAAATTTAAATTTTACACTTTGGATGGGCAGTTCATGTTACCGGCAATTCATTCATCCATACATTACAGCCTGTATAAGTCCACTGCTGAACATAGGCCTCCCGAATAGGGTGTTTCATAGGTAAGATTTTACCATAGTTGCCACGTTTGGCAGGCGGGTTGGCAACCGCAGTTTTTTTTAATTATTTTAAGCTGTTATCAGGAACATCCTGCTGCCCATATCCTGTTCCAGTTTCCCTCTGTCGCCTCCTACGACACCCACGGCATGATATGGGGATGTGGATATTCTTACATCGCCACTACATCGTTATACCGGCAATTGTAATTACTCTATTATTACTTTCTATAACATCCACATACTATGAATGGTGACCACTCATGGTAATTAAAGTGCCCAGTGGCCCAAATACACATACATCTAACATATATCTATTCTCGATTATGGATCAATGCCGATGTATTAAAACCCCTGAGGGAGGACTAAGATTAAATACCTTGTGACCAGTAAAAAGCGTCTCTGGTTCTCATGACTCATCAAGCGAAACACGTCATCATTATGATGCTATTTGACGCTAATACGCTGTGCTGCAGTCATAACACTGTGAAGCGTGGCTTTGTTTGTAACTGTTAAGAAATAATAATAATTCTTAAAAAAAATGCACAACAATAATAATGTCCTCCAGACCGAATTTCGGTCTCGGCGGCCAGCCTCAACGGAAACTAGCCAACGGCGCCGGACAGGATTATAGTGCCCAAGTGTTTGCGCAAGCACTCTCTATTTGCTCACTCTCATCGTTCGATGGCACGGTAATCCGACACGACCCGAGAGAGGTCAGACGCAACGGCTTCACGTGCTTTCTGAGGCACGGAGGTAAGACACCGCCAACTCCCAGACTCCGGGCTACTACTGAATATTTTTCTTGACAGCAAAACCCATTAATTGATTTTTGGCCCGACCCGGAATTCGAACCCGGGCCCTCATGACCAGCAGTCGCGTGTGCGACCACTATACCAACGAGGCAATCAAAATTAAAAAGAAACAGTTTAACAGTTTGGCACAGTATAATGTGTAAAATATTGTACGATTGCATTAGACGCGAAGGCCATTGATGATGGTAATTAAAATTTAAAATCTTAATGTCGTTAAGTTAAGCCGTATGTCAAGCGAGTAATTAATTAGAGGAAATCAGTAATCAACTTAAGAAAAAAAATTAAAATTTAAAATTTAGTTTGTATGACGTAAACAGGTAAACTTAAATTCTGTAATGATTATGATATGTTAATAGGTTACGATAGCGAATTTTTTTAAATTCTCCTGTACCATGGAGACAGTTTATATACATGAATTTCACAAAGACAAACATCCAGACTTGCAACAATTACTTATAGGTCATACAAATACTTCTGCCTACCCTACCCAACGACAAACTGACCTATGAATACATTAAACCTACGTCGTATAAAACAACCCCACTTTCAACCCTTTTCAAAGTTCTACAGAGTGGGCTTTAAAGCGGCCTTGGGTTGTGACGTCTTAAAATATAAATAATAAATCAGAGTTTGTAGTACGTGGGAAGGGCTCGGGCGGTTCAATGAAAGACTTGACCTCTGGACCGTGCGCACTGCGGGTCTAGGGTGTATGTGTTGCGGAGCAGAGTGTTGATTAATCAGAGCACTATTTATAATGCCTGGTGTAATGTCCTTGCTATTCAAGGAATACGGGGGAACGTTTATTTAAACACACTGAACCCGTAAACGATCCTTTATTCACACAACACAGGGTAGCCGTAGAAACCGTTATTATTATCTACCGACACAATATGCTACATCCCTCCACACTTAGATTACAACGTAATATACAATATATAAGCAGTTAGAACAAATGCTTAAGTAGTATACCTAATTAATGATTAAGTACCACATTTTTATTTGGGAAGCAAACAACTATGCTTTATGTATAATTGATGGACATATTGCGCTTACACAATTTTAGCATAGAAAAATCAAAAACACATATACTACAATACATACATTGTTTTATGTATAATAAAAAAAGACATTAATCACTCGACTTTAACACCTCTCCTCTACGTTTATTAAGAATACACAAAAAAACAATTATAAACAAAACAATGTTTACATTAGATTTAGTAAGTATAAATATTATAGAACTAAGCGTTTAGGTGGTTTAATCGCGCGGCCAGATCGAGTGCGCATGGTCGTGGAGGTTTGAGGCGGTGGGGACACGTCTCCCATGTCAGACTCCGCGTGAGTCAGCACCGGTGCCGCCTCACCGCCGTCAGGTCCCGGTGGTTGTGCGGCTAGCGCACCACCTGGGCTATTGAGAGGTAATGATGCAGGTGTATCATGAGAGGCACTGGGACCTGCCGTGCTCCCAACGTCCATATCCTCAAACGTCCACGCCGCTTCACCACGACTGCTGTTATATGATTTGGCTGACATTAACTGATTCACATGACGTCTCCAAATGATATCGGATCTCTGTATCGCCACATCATATAGAACTTTACCTAAGCGTGCAACGACCTGGCCAAGGATCCATGTTGGTCTTTTGGGATTGGCTCGATAGTCTCGTACCCAAACTTTCTCCCCAATCGAAAATGCTTTAATTTTACCACCAAAATATAATTTTTGACGATTTTGGTTCACTAACACATTTTTATGTATTAGAGGTTTTCGATCTAAATTTGAACGCTTAACAGCGATTAAATCAAGTTTACAACGTAAATTCCGACCGAACATAAGCGATGCAGGTGATACTCCCGTCGTACAATGCGGTGTATTCCGATAGTGAAACAAATAGTTATCTAAGTGATTAGCGAAGTCTTTAAAACCACAATCCTTGATAGCATTCACAATAAACCGCTTACAAGTCTTTACTGCGTTCTCGGCGAGTCCATTACTCTGTGGCGAGTACGCAGGAGATAAAATGTGAGTTATGCCATTATCAGTACAGTACTTAGAAAATTCAGACGAAACAAAGGTTTTGGCATTGTCTGTGACTATTTTATTGGGAATGCCGAAACGTGAAAAAATTTTTTTTAATTTATTGATAAGTTCTTTTGATAAAAAATTTGACATTAATTCGCATTCAATCCATTTACTATGCGCATCGACTAGTACAAGAAAAATCTTCCCATGAATTGGGCCGAGGTAATCTAAATGGATTCTTTCGAAAACAGAGTCAGGCCACCCCCACGACTCCAAGCGCGCTTTCGCAGGAGACGGTCGCAAGGATATGCAACGACCACAGTTAGAAGCCATGTTTTCTATGTCACTGTCGATACCCGGGTACCAACAGCGTTCTCTAGCAATCATTTTCATTTTAATTACTCCTAAGTGCGCAGCATGCAGTTCTTGTAGCACAGCAGCCCTATAAACAGTAGGCACTACAATTCTGTGACCTCTCATGAGAACTCCGCTATCAACATATAATTCATGCTGGCATCTATTATATGGCAAAAGTTCTGATGACACTTTCCGTGGCCACGATTTGGTCACATATTGCATGTCAAGTGACAGAACTTTATCTTTATGAAAAGCGGCCCGCAGCTCGTCTAATGAAGCGGGCAGTGGCGCGCCAGCAGCCGCTAGCGCGTTAACATAACTGGTGACGTCATCTACGTGCGCCGTATCCTGCGACGAATCACAATCAATGGGAAACCGACTCAAATAATCAGCTACATTAGATTCACTATTAATGAAAATAATGGCAGTCGCTTCTTTCATAATTTGACTATAGCCACGCTCACTTTTAGTGAGAGCACGCGAAGCGTAACTGATCGGGCGCTCGGCACCCGCGGGGTAGCGCACCGCGAGCACCGCGCCTAGCCCGCCGGGGGCCGCATCCACTGTCAGAACCAGCTGCTGCCGCGGGTCAAAGTGCGCCAGTACGCGACTTGAACATAACTCGTCTTTGATAGCATCGAATGATTTCTGATGTTCCGCCGTCCATTCCCATTTCATATTTTTTCGCAGTAAATTATGTAATGGTTCAAGAATGACCGCCGCTTGCGGTATAAAGCTACGGTAAAAGTTAACTAAACCCAAAAATGATTTTAATTGTCGGACGTTTCCTGGCACCCTTGCCTGTGTAATAGCCTTTATTTTATCCGGATTTTTATGAAGGCCAAAACGATCAATAACAAAACCCAAATATTCTATTTTATTTTCGAAGAATGAACATTTCGAGCGCTGGAGCATTAGCCCGGCGTCTCTTAGACGATTTAGTACCAAATCGACACGTTCCCAATGTAATTCGGCGGTCGGAGCCGCGATTAACAAGTCGTCGAGGAAACACTCCACGCCATCTATGCCCTGCAGCAGTTGCACCATAGCACGCTGGAACAAAGCTGGCGCATTTGACAAACCGAACACTAATCTTGTATAAACAAAAAGACCTTTATGCGTATTGATACATGTATATTTTTGTGACTCATCATCTAGAAGGAACTGATTATAACTATTTGATAAATCAAGCCTACTAAAGTAACGACAATCGTGTAACGATGCACATAACTCACTTATTTTGGGCAATGGATAAGAGTCAATTATTAGGGCCTTATTGATCGTCATAGAATAATCGCCGCAAATACGTACGTCATTATTTTTCTTTAATACTGCAACAATCGGTGACGCGTAATTAGAATAAGAAACCGGTTTGAGTATGCCAGCGCGCACTAATCGGTCCAACTCTGCGCTTACCTTATCTTTGAGCGCAAAAGGCACCGGCCTAGCTTTAAAAAATTTTGGTGTGACACCTTCTTTTAAGTGTAGCGTTAACTTATATTTATTGAACGTGCCCAACCCACCAGAAAATAATGTTTTATATTTCGACAAAATAAATTTTTCTTTATCTACTGAACAATAATTTAATGAGATAAAAGCGAAATTAAATTTTGTCATAAAGTCCCTACCGAGTAAGGGAACCGGGCCATTTTCAACAACATAAAATTTTATATTATGCGTTACATTATTATATGTGACTGGTAAGTAACACATGCCCAATAGCCTTAAAGCAGAACCACTGTATGTATATAAAGTTTTATTGGACTCACCGAGTGACAAGTTTCGCGAGAAATACATATACCATATGCGCGCGGGCAGCGCTGATACCCCACTACCGGAATCAACCTCCATACTAAGAGTAACACCTCGCACCATAACTTCAAGAGATATCGGTTTTTCTTCCTTACATAAAATAGTATTAATACGTGATTCATTATTTATATCTCTAACATTATTAATTGGTGAAAAATCATTACATTCGTCCCTATCACTACCTTCCAAAATGTAATTATTCTGCATACCATTATGCTGCTTTTTCACAATTTTGTCCTTTTTGGTTGTAATCTCGTTATGTACGTAGTATCTCTTAGAACACATTCTTTTTAAATGCCCTTTTGCACCACACAAATTGCACGACAGATGACGATAGCCACATACGGAGGTATCGTGTGACCTCGCACCACACACACTACACCTGGGGGCTCCGCCGTCGCCGCCACCACGGGCGCGACCGCCTCGTGTACCGCCGCTTGCAGTAGCTTTTCGCCGCGAGTCCGTATATAGCACAGGTTCAGACTTAATTAACTCTGCTGAATCGCCAGCGGAAACAATACGCTGCGCACTTTCAACTGCACAAGCTACTTCAAGTGCCTTATTTAGTTTTAGTTGATTGGGATCTTCTCTAAATAATTTCTCTCGGGCCGACGCAGTGTCAAGACCAAGTACAAAACGATCCGTCAAACACATCTCTAGAGCTGTACCAAAACAACATGCCGATGCTAGTCCACGAAGACGAGCAGCATACTCCACCATTGACTCGTGAGGGTCCTTTTTAGCCGAATAAAACTTTTGTCTTTCAGCGTATATACACTTTTTTGGGTCGAAGTGGCCGTCAAGCGCAGCAATAATCGCCTTGTAATCGGTTGATTCAGGCGTATTTGGATACAATAAATCACGAGTAAGACGATATGAGTCTTGTGACATGCTATTCAATAAAATTGCCCGTCTTCTCACTCTTTGAGCATCTGTGATATCGTCGATTCCATTTGCAATAAAGAAGTTATTTAGTTGTGCTACGTGTACCACCCACTCATCTATTTTGCAATCGAAAACTGGCACTTTCCCATAGATAGACATTTTAACGCGTGACTTCTACTGTAGGTTAATCGATTATTAATACACAAAATAAACTCGTCGCCACTGTAATGTCCTTGCTATTCAAGGAATACGGGGGAACGTTTATTTAAACACACTGAACCCGTAAACGATCCTTTATTCACACAACACAGGGTAGCCGTAGAAACCGTTATTATTATCTACCGACACAATATGCTACACCTGGCCAATATGATTAACGACAAGTCAAATCGCGCTACGCAATTAATACTGATTTAAACTTAATTATTTTTTCACGCACCATCTGGTCTCGCACCGACTAAGACCCCATGGTGTTCCACCTTCGTCACATATTGACAGGGCCACGAAAACGCTTTCAAAGCGGCCGCAGGCCCACCAGCACCCGCCGCCACATGGCAGCGCTTCCTCGGGAGAGTACTTCTCCTCCCACTTCATTCCCATTGTTTAATTGTTGAATATGTGACATTAAAAAACCTAATGTAACCTATCTTTTTTTTACTTTGCCCAATAAGTAACCGACTTTATTCTTAAAGGTCGGTCAATTAAAATACATATTTCAATAGTTTTTATTATATTGCCTACTCATTATGGGCATTTTTCAAACTCTCTGGACATTATGAATAATAAAGAAACCAGTAATAAAGAAAGAAACCAGTAATAATATTCCACAACTATCAAACAGCGCCATCTAGTCCCAAGCTAAGCAGAGCTTGTGTTATGGGTACTAGACAACTGATAAACATACTTATATATTTCTAAATACATAAATATTATAGATAAATTACACCCAGACACAGAACAAATGATCGTGCTCATCACACAAACATTTGTCCTGGGTGGGAATCGAACCCACGACCTCCGGCGTAGCAGTCAGGGTTACTAACCACTAGACCAACAGGCCAGTCTTATTATGAATAATGCCCTATTAATTACTTGGTCCATAATTTCAGAGCCGTTGTAGCTCAAGGACTATAGGCTCGCCGCAATTTCACAGTACGTGAGCAATCCGGGCTAGCCTCCGGCACTAAAGAAACTATTAGTTGCAATTTTATGTGCTGATTTACCACTTGCTCGGCGGTGAAGGAAAACGCCGTAAGGAAACCTGCATATCTGAAGAATAAAAGATTTAGAAGAAATCCGCCAATACTCAGTGGGGTATCGCGTCGGACAAATTGCATCATAACCCTCTCAGAAATAGAGAAGGCTCAACAGTAAGACGTGCATAAACTGTAACTTTGCTTTACTATGTATTTGAAATATCTGACTATTTAACCTTCCTTTTTATCTTTATATATATATAATTGTTCTGTGCTGTCTGGACATTATGAATAATGGCGTGTTAATCACTTGATCCATAACGTATGCAAATAAACACGAGCACGTGCGTCCCGCTTGCGTCTGGCACAGGTTTCTTCGTTATGCGATTACGACAACGTTCGTATCGCACGCAGAGAGCTACTAAATAACTTGTTTTTTTTTTATTTGTCATACTGACTTAATTAACTTAGGTTTTTTATTTGTATGTTTACTTACATATCATTTAAATAAACCATAGAAACAGAAACTCTTTTTCAATATTGATTATAAATAATACTTATTGAAAGTCACTCTTTTCTGCCGACTTCCAAAAAGGAGACGGTACTCAATTCGACTGTGTTTTTTTTATGTGTGTTACCTCATAACTTTTTACTGAGTGAACCGATTTCGATGATTCTTTTTTATTTGAAAGCTGGTACTTCTCGTGTGGTCCCTGATGAATTTTATCAAGGTCAGACCAATAGTTTTTGAGTTATTCTTAATAAGTTATATTGAAGTCGGCTGTACAATTTTTTTTATTTTAAATTGTTTAACTTACCTCTGCCCTGGAAAGAACCAGCAAGAAACCTAGCGGGACTTATTTTTTTAAAATCAGCATACAATCTCCAATATTACACATAAATAAGAACACAAAACAAATTGGAAATAGCTTGGTGGTGATCACCTCATTCACAGGAGTTATTATCATCCATAAATTCCTTAATAATGTAATAATCATTTATACACAAACTTAATTAATAAATTTTTTGAACTTTAATCAAGTTTTTCAAATATTTATTACTATTATAATATTTTATTTAATTACCATATATAATTTAAGTTTTAGTTTCATTATATTATATATTATTAAAACTAAAACTTAAATTATCATGTACAGTCTTCCCCGTGGTATAGTCACAGAATAAATAAATAGTAGGTACTACGGTATAGTTCCAAGGCTGCGTTTTCTCGCTAAAGCTTCGGTCACACACAGAGACTTCTACACGAGAATTATCTGTAATATGTATCTTTTAGATTCTTATTTTTTTAAGGCTCTTGGGTTGCTATTTCGAACTCAATCAATTCATTAATTAACTTAATGGAGGCGTCTTTGCGTTTTTTTAATTAATATTATTTGTGACCTACTGCCCTTATTTTTTCATACACACCCAAGAAACGATATAATTCGTTACATGGGTGTGTATAGAAAAAAAATGAGGTTTTGCCACTTTAGAGAATCTCATTTGATGAAAACTCATTTGATTGACTTTCACACACGCGCGCGATACGCTATGCACGGGCGTGTAATCTGGAACGGCAGAGTAGAATGGCTACTTGTAGCGAGTATTCTGTCACACACAGCGAATTCTCGCAGTGAGTGCACATTCGCAGAGAGTAAAATTGAAAAGTGTTCAGCCTCGGTCACACATAGCAAATACTCGCAGCGATAAGATACTACATATAACAGCGAGAATTCGCTGTGTGTGACAGGCTATTCGCTGCGATTAGATTCATTCGCTGTGTGTGTCCGAAGCTGAAAATCGCGGCGAATTCAACTCGCGGCAAATGAATGTATACACAGCGAATAGCCTGTCACACGCAACGAGTTCTCGCAGTGAGTATTCGCTGTGTGTGACCGAGGCTTAAATAATAATATAGCCTTTGAGTGTGAAAAGAACCAACCCTCCAAAAAATTATCTTTATCTACTTCAAAGTTTTTCAAATTAAAATATACCACAATGTTGTGAAGAGGATGCATCAGGATATATACAGTTATGTCATTTCTACTTATGTGTTTGTTCTTGTAAGTAAAGGAGTTTTTTTTTAAATTCCTATTGATTATAGAGGGTTTGATCTACAATATCATGTTACCCTCATAGGTACAAATCAAATACAGATAATCAGAAAAAGGTTATCTGTTCTTAATTACCTAACAATACTCGTTTATATTTTCTAGCCTTATCCGACATTAGAAAAGCTAAGTTATTATTATACAATCCAACACTGTATTTGTCAAAACTTACTTACCAGATTTCATTGTTATATGAATAGTATCTTTCACAGCTCTTTGACACAATTTGGTGAATTGACTTGTCTCATAATAAACGCAAATTTGTATAATGGAATATGTCCGGGGCGTAGCCTCATTGCTGTAATAAACTCTTATCTTCCCATATTGCATCCTTCAAACCAGAGGAAGCGGGAAAGATACGGTTGTATCGACTTGTACTAAATACCTTTTGAAGTTAAGAAGTTATAGACGTACAGTTTTATACCATGATGCAACTATATTATAGTTGCAGCACTATTCGTGGCACGTGTGGCACGAAATGGGTCAGCTCGACCGGGAAAGGACCACGCTCTCACAGAATATCAGCGTTAAATAGCAGCTTAATGCTGCTGTGCTTCGTGTGGAGTATCGGAGACACTTTTACTAAAAACGAGGCATACCATCTTAGTCCTCAGGGGTGACAACGCATCTGCATTTTGCTTCTTAATCGCGGATAGATATAGATGTCTATGAGCCACAGGACCCACTTACAGTCAGGTGGACTGTGTGCTCGTTTATGACCTTTATGCCATCAAAAAGAGGATGAGTGAGGGAGGGTGGTGGCACCTGCAAGGTTTCGCGCACTTATAAAGTGTCCTAGTGCCTGCGTAGCCACCGGGCGCGGGATGCGGCTTGCGCGGGGGGAGGTGCGGACGCGGAGCGGGCGGGAGGCGAACAGTCATGTGACTAGCGAGGTAGCGAGTCACTTGACTACTTTTATTTATCCCGTTGAGTCTCGTAGCCCTCCCGCCTCCGCCCCACAGACTGAAATTTTTCTAATTGAAAGTCATCTTTTATTTACCACTGGTTCCGAAAATATTTCTGTCCTGGGAAGAACCAGCAAGAAACCCAGCGGGACTTTTTTTTCAAACATATTTCACTTAACAATAATTTCATTTATACAATTTTAAATGATTTTTCATACAACCAGCATGGTGGCGATTACCTTATTCCCAGGGGTTATTTTCATTCATGTATTTCTTGATATTATAATAACTCTTTTTGTACAGTTTTTCTTTAATAAAACATTTAAACTTGTTTATCGACAAACTTTGAATATGTTATGGGATTTTAATATATGAATTACTGATTCTGTGGAGTCTAATATCTGGTATTACAAGCTTATGTTTGATCCTAGTGTTTACAGTATGCACATCCTTATTCTTATTAAAGCTATTTATGTTTTTATGTACATACATAACATTTTCATAAATATATTGCGATGCCAAAGTTAATATGTTTATTTCTTTAAATTTTTGTCTGAGGGACTCTTTAAAATTTAGGTTATTAATCGCCCGAATGGCTCTCTTTTGCAAAACAAATATAGCTTCAATATCAGTCGCATTACCCCATAGCAAAATTCCATAAGACATTACGCTATGAAAGTAACTAAAATACACTAATCTAGCTGTCTCAACATCTGTGTGACTTCTAATCTTTCTTACAGCATATGCTGCAGAACTAAGTCTGCTTGCTAATTTGGATATATGGGGGGCCCCATTGAAGTTTCGCGTCAATAGTAATACCGAGAAAAACAGTGGTATCCACAAGACTCAACTCCTCCCCATTTAACAGCACATTGGTATTCGAATGTTTTACATTAGGTATTATAAATTTAATACACTTTGTCTTTTTACCATTTAAGAACATTTTGTTGGCATTACACCAATGTACTAATTTCGATAGAGCATTATTAACATCGTCATAATTAATTAACTGCCGTTTGAGTTTAAAAATTTAAGAGGTATCGTCAGCAAATAATACTATATCGTGATTGCCCCCTACAAGATAAGGTAAGTCATTAATATAGATTAAAAACAGGAATGGGCCAAGAATCGAGCCCTGAGGAACGCCCATTGATACTACCGGTCCGGAGGAAGCTTTACCATTGATCACGACTTTTTGAGTTGTGTTACTTAAATATGAAGTAATAAGTCTAAGCGCCAAATTTTTTACACCGTAATGTTGTAGTTTCCTGATTAATGTCTCATGATGAACACAATCGAAAGCCTTGGAAAGGTCACAGAAAATACCTAAGGCATCTTGTGAATTCTCCCAGGCATTAAAAATATACTTCATAAGCTCAACACCGGCGTCAGACGTCGAGCGACCCCTTGTAAAACCAAATTGGTTTTTATGAAGTAATTTATTAATATTAAAAAAAAAACTTTTTTGTAAAAATGTATAAATTGTACTAAAATTATTTTTTCAAAAATTTTACTGAGAGTTGGTAGTACAGAAATAGGTCTAAAATTAGCGGGGTCCAATGTACTATCAGATTTAAATAAAGGTATTACTTTATTATACTTCATTAAATCAGGAAACACACCAGAATCGATACAAGTATTAAAAATAATAGCAAGATTAGGTGCAATTAAATTTATTATAGACGCAATAACTGTAACGGAAATCCCCCACAAATCATCATTACATCAATGGTTTTGAAGTATTTTACAATATCTTGCGGTAATACTTTTTGAAATCTAAATTCTTTTAAACAGGTATTAACATTCTGTTTGAGTAATGACTCGGCGACAGTTGGATATAACAAACAAATACGACGACTTGATGGAACCATTTTTAAGTTAGAACTGAAGTCTGTGTTAGTACTGTCTAAAAACGTAATGGAAAACTGGCCATTCGTGCTACAACTATAATATAGCTGCGGCATGGCTCTGCAAGGTTATATTTTCAAAATAAGCGTTGCTTACACACTGGACAAGGTGGAAGGACATCAAGAATATAATATATGTTAAGCTAATAAATAATAATGTATGTCTAATGTTACCAAAGAAACTCTCGTGAAACTCTGAAGTGTAATGTTTAATATTATTATTTGATCAGTTGCACAGGATGCATGTACAATATTTTCACTAAGTATGCAAAGAACTCTAAATAACACTGCGTGTATGCGGTATGCCTAATATAGTGACATCATCTTAAAAGTGTTTTATACACGAACCACTTGTGAGATTTAATATTTTATATAAAGTCTCAGTGATGATATAGGTTATTAAGAAAACTAATAGATTGAAACATGTGTCTGACAGCTTTGCAACTTAACCAAAAACGTAATATCAATAATCAAACTTTGGAGAAAAGGAAAAGCCAATTTCATAAATATTAAAAGTTATATAATTTTCCCACCGGAAGGAAGTTAGCAGTGTATATATTATATCCTTTATGTTTTATAGCAAAATAAAATTTTCAAAAATTGTGTTTTTTCTTAAATTATAAATTAACTAATAGTAACAGACGTGGACCAATTACGGATTCCGAGAGAGCATTTGAGGAGCAATTATTTGTTATAAAGTTTACTTTAAAAAAGTAGAATTTTATGTTTTATAGCAAAATAAAACGTTTGAAAATTGATTTTTTAAATTTTAATTATAAATTAACTAATAGTAATAGACATGTAGCAATTACGGATTCTAAAAGAACATTTAAGAAGCAAATAATTGGCATACAGTTTACTTAGACATTTTATACTTCATAGCAAATTCATTTTTTGAAAATTGATTTTTCTTAATTAATTATAAATTTAACTAATAGTAATAGACATGGAGCAATTACGGATTCTAAGAGAGCTTTTAAGGAGCAATTAATTGGCATACAGTTTACTTTAAAAAAGTAGATATTTTATGTTTTTTAGGATTCCGTACCTTTTTTTTTTTTTTTTTTTTGCGGATGGAAAATCATCTAATGACGCCTTTCGCTGTGGGTGGAGCGGAAGGGAGTGTCAGACTTTTACTGACTAAAAACCATCCGTGTTCCTTCAGTGCCCTTACGTTCCGGAGCCGCGGTATCTCTTTCGAACAGCCCGCAGCCCCGGCAGGCGTCGGCCCTTGCGGGCCCCTTCACGCTGCTGACAGCTCTTTGAGGCGCGCGTGGAACAAAACGCGCCGTCGACACGGCCTGTCGTCGTTAGACGGACAGACGGCGAGCTACCCATTGCTCGCCGTCCACAGGCCCGCGCCTACGGTGGTCGGGGGCCACGACGTAGCCCCCGACGCCCGGGGCGTCTCCCGCGGCGGCCGGGAAGGAAAGCTGTTGCTCTTTCCTTCTCCCGCTCCGCCACCTCCTTCGCTAGCATCACTGCTTCGCAGAAGGTGGTGACGGCATCCCATTCCGTCTCGCTCCGGACCATGGCTTCGACCAGAGCCGGACGCGAGAGGTCGCCGCCGCCTATCGCCGCTACGAGGACACGGCGGTGCTCCGCCCAAGCAGAGCACACCTCCACGGTGTGCTCCACCGTGTCCTCCGGTCGATCCTCGCAGTGGGAGCACCCGGGCGTTTCCTCCCGCCCGATTCGGTGCAGGAACCTACCGAACACACCGTGTCCGGTGAGGACCTGCGTCAGGCGGAAGGTGAGGACGCCGTGGCGTCTCTCAAGCCACTCCTCAAAGAGGGGTCTTATCGCCGCTATAGTGGCGTGCCCAGCACGGGGTTGCGACAGTCGCTCTCTCCATGTCGCCATGAGATCATGCCGGAAGTCTGTCCGCTGCGCGACAACTTGCCGCGGCAGCGGGGTTTCCCCCCGGAATAGTGCTGCCGCGCGCCATTCGTGCAGGCGCGCGAGGACTATCGCCTCCAGATCCCATGGCGGCAATCCGGCAAGGAGGCTCGCCGCCTCGCGGGAGATCGTGCGGTAGCCGCGAACCATCTTTACGGCAACCACCCTTTGGGGCGCGTTTAGGTGGTGGACGGCAAGCCGCGCCAAACCACGCGCCCACACCGGGGCCCCGTAAAGGGCCATGGACCTCACGATCCCCGCGTAGAGCCTCCGGCAGGAGGCGTTTGGCCCCCCCAGGTTCGGCAGGAGCCGCCTGAAGGCAGCCCCGGTCCGTTCCAGTTTGGGAGCCAAACGTCGGAAGTGCTCATGGATTCCGTACCTCAAAATGAAAAAACGGAACCCTTATAGGATCAATTTGTTATCCGTCTGTCTATCTGTCTCTCTGTCAAGCCCTTTTTCTCAGGAACACGTGGAGGTATCAAGCTGAAATTCATATCAAACACTCAAGTCTACTGTCCCTTGAAGCTGTGAAAAAATCAAACTTCTAAACCAACGCAATCAAAAGAAACAGCCGTTTATGCCGCACATTTTCGACATTCGCAAGGAAATCAAAACCTACGGGGTACTTCCCGTGAACTCAGAATCTTAAAATTTGGTACGAAGCTACGTATTATAGCACATATAAAGGGAAAATTGCGAAAAGCAAAATTTTTAGTTACATCAGATAATAAAAATATTTTTAAAAATTTTAAATTTATATACCTACGGATTTGTTTGGAACCCTCGGTGCGCGAGTCCGACTCGCACTTGGTCGGTTTTTATAATTATTTTTTTAGGGAGGAATTACGGATTCTAAGGGATCATTTAAAGAGCAATTAATTGTTATACAGTTTAATTAAATAAATATTATATGCTAACTTCCTTCCGGTAATTTTCCCATTATTTAATAGCTTCTAATATCGAGGCTTTGATTCTTCGATACACTGTCTTATACTCGTAACAACTTCTACTACTGGTAATATTTTTTTATTATTTCATAAAATGTTAGCAGCTCCGTGGCGCAGTGGCTTAGCAATGAGTTGCAGCGCTGAGGGCCGCGGGTTCGAATTCTGCACGAAACAAGTATTTGTATGGTCTACAAGCAATTGTTCCGGGTCCGAATGTTTGTCCTTGTGAAATCTCTATATGCAAACTGCCCCCATGATACAGGAGAAAATCCTAGTGTGGAGATAACGTCTTCTAAAGAAAAAAAAATGCTACTACTACTACTACCACTAATAAATTATGCGAAAAATATTTTTATTTTTACAATTTTAATTGTTGCGGTACCGTTAAGGTTCATATAGCCTATAATTTAAAAAAATATCACTAAAGCCCATCACACGTCCACTACTAAACATAGACCTCTCACAAAGCTCGGTCTTGAGCCATATGCATACATTGACTACCTGCGTGCTTCATCAGGTCGTCACTCCATTCAGCGGGGGGGGGGGGGGGGGGGGTCGCATAATAACACGCTTGCTAGTACGACGCTGCCACTCGACAACGTTGTTTATTATGAAACTTTATTATTAAAGTTTTCTAACAATACAGTGATACGATTATAAGAACAGATTAGGCGTATTAGACGTCATTAGAGGTGCAGTATATGACGCGCTCGAAGATAATCTATTAGCGATTAGCGGTGTCGTTATAAAAGAGATAAATGTACCAATAAGCGCTGCAATAAAATTATACGGCCCATTCTTCGCGTTCCGCAATAAGTGCGTAAGTTTTATGAATGAATGTAGGCTCGTTCTAAAAATAAAATTCTTAGAAGGAACATATTATACCCTATATAAAAGCAGAAAATTGACTCCAAAAAATATTTCAACAAATTCCCTATGGACGAGGAGACATTACATCCGTTCACAAGTCAATTTCGAGTCTCAATCTCAACGCGTCCCATCTACCTCGGCACGCGCACACGCTCACACACACATGGCTACAATACGTACACAATACACAAGCAGTTTTACCGGCCGGCACCGAGCGCGTAGCTTCCTGTCTCGAAACCGGTGACGGCACCGGTGGGAGTCATCACCGGCGCCGGTAATCTCATACATTTTGTACATTTTTGCTTCCCCGACAGCCGTGTCGTTAACGGCGCCGGCGCCGTGCCGGTGCCGTGTCGATGAATGGAAAACCGCGCATAAGGTTGGAACCAGAGACCCTTTTTATTAGTAAGGAGGCATTACTTCTTAATCATTCCATATGTTAAAACTCTTCTGCTTTTTGATTCTTGATCTAAAATAGATATAGATGTCTATGAGTACACAGCCCACCTGATGACAAGTGAACACTGTGGCCCATAGACATCTACATCTATCCTCGATTACGAATCAAAATGCAAATACGTTGTCACTCCTGAGGACTAAGACGGAGTGTGACGTATCCAGTAAAAGAGGTATCCGGTTCTTTACACTCACCATCACCACACAGTAGCATTAAGCTGATATTTTACGCTGGTATTCTGTGAGAGCGTGGTCCTTCCCCGGTTAAGCCGACCCATTCGTGCTACATAACATAGCTGCAGCATGGCTCTACCACGATATGTGTGTTGTTGTATTTATAGAAGAAAAAACTCAAAGAAAAATATCCGTGACGAAATCGATTAAATGGTCAGTAAAATGGCGATTAAACTCTATTAAAATCAGTCGCAATTGGCTCGATTGCCAAACCATTAATTTACTTCCACCAGTACTCGATACTACTTACTACTACTGCTGCTACTTTCAGCAGGGTTAGGTGTGTTCTTAGAGTGCGTGGACCACGTTTGACTTTTCCAAAACAATTCAGCAAATCGATCATCAAGTTTGGAGACTTAATTCTTGGTCATGTTAATTGGCAGACGTAGGACGAAAAGTACAAAGCCGGCTTCTTTCTCTTGTAAGACTATTGCTCAACCGGCTTAAACTGTATCGAGGACATAGTCTTGCTAGCTTAAGCCTTGTGACTTTTGTTGTGGTATCAACAGATATCAGATGTACTCCCTCCCCGCTCCGAAAGGCTTCCCTCATTTTTGTGGCAGTGGTTTGCTCACCTTCGGTGAACAAAGAGGAACCCACATGGCTGACCCGCGGTGGCTACTCCGAGTGGACTTGACGAGCTCACTTCGGATGTGTGTTGGTGGGCTGCGGCGAGAGGGGTGTCCTCCCCCCCTACCGCTGCAGCCGAGGTGGAGTCGCGGAGGAAGAGGGTTGCACCGATGATGCGGTGGTGGTGGGGCTGCGGGGGAAGGGGAGTGTCGGTATTGCGAGGCGCCGTGCCGCTCTCCCTACACTCCGCAGCCGAATTTCGGTTGGCGGCGGAGCCATGGACCGGATCCGCCGCTGGGGTTGGAAAGGCTAGTACTTCTGAGTGCTCGATTTTCTTAGCCCCATGGCCTTTGCGCATTTGCACACGTTTGCACGTTGCGCAAGTGAAATTGGAGACCGCGGAGGAAGGCGTGCCATGTTCTGGTGCTCCTCACCTGAGGAGGACCTCGCACGACAAAGGTGGAACACCAAGGAGTTTTAGTCGTTGCGAGTCCGACATATCCCGTCCTTGCCCTCTCGAGGCGGGTATTCGTAGGCATTTCCCCGAGTAACGTCAGATGTACGTCATGTGTTCTGAGAGGCGACAAGATAAACGTCATGACAACTGGACTTCAATGCACAAGCACACTTTTTAAGCTTCTTTTATTTTAAAATAATTTACGGAATCGGAATACCTACTATGAATACTTAAGTGAATATATATCTAATATATAAAATTCTCGTGTCGCGGTGTTTGTTACGAAACTCCTCCGAAACGGCTGAACCGATTTGTATGAAATTTTGTATGCATATCGGGTAGGTCTGAGAATCGGCTAACATCTATTTTTCAAACCCTTAAATGATAAGGGTGACTCACTCACTCACTCACTTTTAAAAATAAAAAATATTTCTTAGAAATAATGTATATTATGGCAAAACAACGTTTGCTGGGTCAGCTAGTATGTATATATAATATATATATATATATATATATATATATATATATATAGTATGTAGTATGAGTAGAAACCTATTATAAACAGAAATTATGACAAAGTGCTTCTAGACATTGAGGCGACGCACACGGCCCGCCTCCCGCCCCCCGCGAGTGTGCCAAGTAAACGAGTTTGCGCCCAGTTACATAGGTACAATGCAAATTATCATTACAATAGAATAGAATATTATAATTTTTATTCAATATTGATTATTACATAATACTTATTGAAAGACATTTTTTATTTACCACTGGTTCGGAAAATACCTCTGTCCTGGGAAGAATCAGCAAGACACCCAGCGGGAATTTTTTTCTAACATAATTTCACTTAACAATAATTTTGTTTATACAATTTTAAATGAATTTTCCCAGAACCAGCATGGTGGCGATCACCTTATTCCCAGGGGTTATTTTCATTCCTCCTTTTAGTACAGTTTTTCTTTAATAAAACTTTTAAACTTGTTTATTGATAAACTTTGAACATGTTCTGGGATTTTGTTGTAAAAGCGTATACATTGCCCCATAAATGAATTACTGATTCTATAGAGTTACATTACATCACGTCAAGTTTCAATGATGCCAGCTCATCCTTAGACTCGATATAAGGACCAAAGTATTTAGTCGAAAGTACATGATCGCCGATGCTCTATAAACTTACCTTGTTTTATTTCGGTGTATAGTTAACATCCACCTTTTTTGCTTACTTTTTTTTTCACCATTCTTTTAAGACATACATTTAAAAAATGCTTATACATATAAACTAATTAAGTAAATAAATACCGGCAGCTGCAACTATTTGAACGTCCATCTCGGACAGATGACAATACAAATATGTAGGATGCTGTGGGCAGCCGCGCAATGACTGTGACAATCATGGCTCATTCTGTGGTTGTCCATCATGGCCGATCGTGTATAAGGCGCATTACATACGATAAGTACAAGACACACAACAAGTTGAACATGTGTGCGCAGGTGTTTGCCGAACGTACTGCGGCGCTTCACACGAGTAGGCCGGCACTGCAAAAAATGTCGTTAACATTTTGAGATTTTAGAATCTCTACTCTTTATACAAGTAAAAAAAAAGTTTAGCTCAGATTGTAATAACTATGGCAAATATCCCCCCTATGAGGCAATCTATGGGGGAGGCCTATGTTCAGCAGTGGACTTTAATAGGCTGTAACGGTAACGGTAAGTTTAACTTAGTGGAAAAGTCTTTAAAGTAATAATCAGTCAGGATAATGCGTCCAAATACCCAAATACTAACGTTTTAAAATATTACATAAAACATAAACACTCACGCCTGTCACCCAGAGGGGTAGGCAGAGATTATGGACTTCCATTTGGCACGATCCTGACACACCTCTCTCGCTTCCTCCACATCCATATACCTACGCATACACGCTCGTCGGTTAAAGGTACTCTTGATATGGCCCATTTTTAATATATCGCCAATTTGGTCGATAAACTTTCGCCTAGGGCGACCCTTCCCGACTATGCCGTTCACCTCTGCAACATAGATTTGCTTTGTCACTCTTTCCTCATTTTTTTTTAAATTTAAAATATTACTTGAGTAGTATTTTGTAATAGAAGATTTAATAACTAGTTTGTTAATTTCAGCTTTCTCTCTTTGTGAAATACGATTTAAGCGTTTTTGGACGAAATCTACATCATCAGAAAGTCGCTAGAATGTCGTTCGTCGAACTATAGAACGTATTTTGTGAAGGTGGCACTGGTCATTGGGAAAAATTTTGACAAATTCCATTCCATCCATTTCAACTCTTTACCGTTTTGTGTGATAATAATGTAGTTAAAATTACGTCAGCGCATACAAGAAGTTTGTTTAGTAGAGAACGATTTTTTTATAGGATAAGGGTGACAAACGAGCACACAGTCCACCTGATGATAAGTGGTTGTTGCGGCCCATAGACATCAACATCTATTTTCGACGACGAATCAAAAAATAAATTTATTCCAAGTGATTAACAAATGTCCTCCGCACCGAATTTCGGTCACGGCGGCCAGTCTCAACGGAGACTAGCCATCTGCGCGTGACAAGTCTATAGTGCTCATATGCGCAAGTACAGGTGTACTCTCTATTCCCTCACTCTCATTGTCCGATGGGACGGTAATCCGAGAATAATCAGGCGCAGTACCAACGGCTTTACGAGCTTCCCGAGGCACGGGGGGCAACACCGCCAACTTCCTGACTCCGGGCTGCTACTGAGAATTAATTGACAGAAAAACTTTAATAGAACCTCGCAACCTAGGAGTTCCAATGAACTCGATTTGCAAGGATTTTCCTTATAAAGACTGGCAAACCCAGAACTAAATATCTTAGGCGCTTACATATACTTGTCTGGTAAACATTCAATTTCGACTTACTAAGATATCGATGAAGACCTACGGAACGAAGCCGTGGTCCTTTACTGCTGGTCGTAGGAGGAAGCTTAAAGCCAATCAGCGAGCTTTGACAAGGACACAGTTTCTCTGCTCGATAAGAATACGTACTCGTAATGAATATCTAAAAGGGTATATCCTAACGGATAAGTTCTTTTTTATAGAGAAAGGGATGGATGCTGTTGCCCATAGACATCTACATTTACCCTCCATTAAAAATCAAAATAGAATCGAAATAGATGCGGTGTCATCCCTCAGGACTTAGATGAAATGCCTCGTACAAGGATACGAGGCAGATACAGTGAAAAGGATCTTCGGTTCTCTACACTCACCATACTGACAACAGCAACATTGAGCTGCTATTTTACGCTGGTATTCTGTGAGAGCGTGGTCCTACCCCGTTGAGCCGACGTGCTACAACTAATATAAATGCAGCGTGGCTCTATCAAGTTAAAGAGTAAGTAAGCTGAAGTAGCAACAGGTCGGCCAGTTAGTTAATAGAATCGAAAATCGATGGCGAGGATAGATTCTCGAGTGGCAGCCTTGTATCGGTAAGCCATTAACGTTTGGGTTCCTTAGGATCTGTTGTTTCAGCAACCCTTTTTTTGCTAAACATCAATCATCCCATACTCAAGCCCGGTGTTTTTGGGTTGTGGAAGAATATAAATCAGAAACCAGCTATGATGATGGGATTAAATTTGACCTTATCAGGTGTCAGAGTAGGGCAATGTCCGCCTAGTGCAATTTAAAGCCTGAGTAAGCCACTTGAATATAATAGATTAATTTTTTATTCAATATTTTTTATATATATGCAAGTAATTCTTATTGAAAGTATTTTTTTTTATCAGTGGTTCAACAAGTGGTAAATCAGGAATGTCTAGAACAGGTAAATGAAATTGTATACTTGGGGAGTGCTTTTAGCCGGGATGGAAGATGTGATTTAGATGTGGACAGGCGTGTCGCTGCCGGGAACAAAGTCAATGGTGCCCTGACTGCGTTAGTCAAAAGGCAAGGCGTAGCGAAGAGTGCACGCCTTGCAATACATAACGCAGTGTTGGTACCGACTTTGTTATATGGCAGCGAAACCTGGGTATGCCAGAAGAAGCATAAAAGTAAGTTGAATGCAGTGGAGATGTGATCTCTTCGTAAAATGTGCGGCGTTACCATGGCCGACCGAAAGCGAAACGAAGAGATTCGCAATATGGCAGGTTTAAAAGATGAACTTATCACAAAAATTGATAAGGGCGTGCTTCGGTGGTTTTTTTTTTTTTTTTTTTATAGAATAGGGGGCAAACGAGCATGCGGCTCACCTGATGGTAAGTGACTACCGCCGCCCATGAACAACCGCAACACCAGGGGGATTGCAGATGCGTTGCCGGCCTTTTAGAAAGGTGTAAGCTCTT